ATTCTTCTACCATGCGTTGATGCATCTACCTGTATTCTTCTGCCATGATTAATCCATTGTATACACACAAAATCAGAGATGGGAACTGTTTTTTTATGCATTGAAATTTGTCAAGGTAAATTACAGAAAATTCAGATGTGGGAATGCTAATTTGAAATGAGGTTACCTTTATTTCATAGCATAACAATGCCCACGGTAGAACTAAGAAGGTAAAGCCATGTAAACACTTGTTTAATTTTTTTTTTAAATTTTTGCATTAGACAACATTTCATTGTCAAAATCTATATACATAAATCCATTGTATACACAAATGAAGAATCAAGGAGGTAAAGTCATGCAATCATATGTTTACATTTTTTTCAAAAATTGTTCATTTGACATCTCACTGTCAATATTTGTATTTATAAATCCATACACAAATCAGAGATGGGAACCTGTTTTTATTTAGTGAAATGTGACAAGGTAAATTACAGAAAATGCAGAGATGGAAATGCTTATTTGAAATGACTTTACCTTCTTAGTTTTACCATGGATAATACCTCGTGTATTTGCAATGGATTTATAAATACAAATTTTGACAATAAGATGTCAAATTAATAATTTTCGAAAAAATGGTAAACATATGATAATACCTTTTCCAACATCAATTCTCTCTATATTAGGTATTTTCATAGGTAATTTTTGGATTTCTATTTATTTTTTGTGTATTTACACGTAAAAGATGAGGATACATAAAACGCTTTTGTTGATTGGTTAAAGTCAATTGGCTGACTTCTTTGTAGAGGAACAAAGGTGTTTCATGTTGATTTAGTTCGATTTTGGCCCTACGCTCCTTTGTTCTTTTCCGAAGAAGCCAGCCGATGACTTAAGGCGTTTTACGGCTGCTTTTGTAAAAAACAAGAGAGCGAAGGGTGAGAAAGTAAAAATTAGGTTCTGAAATTGAACTAAGTTAACCTAGAACTCCGGTGCTCTTTTACGAAGAAGCCAGCCGTAGATTTAATCCCATAAAAAAGCCTTCTATGTATTCGCACTTTTCATTGTAAAATTGGAAGTAAAGTGATTTAAAATAAGCATTCCCATTTTTCCATTTTCTGTAATAAAGCTTGTCAAATGTTATTGCATGGAAAAATGGTTCCCATGTCTGATTTGTGTATGTACAATTTCCAAGTGAATAATTTAAAAAAAAAAAAACTTGTAAACATAATGCAAGCCACACACAATACAACTGATTGTATAACTTAGATAGGTTGTATTGCAGATTGTATCGTTTTTGGCCCGGTTGTAAGAAGTTGTGTCTCGGTTGTACAAAAAATCAAAATTTTTTGATATTTGGCATGTTGTACCAACCGATTGTAATGTTTGTGGGCATGTCGCTTACAATTTCATTTTGGATTAGTTTTTGAAGAGGCAACACCATTGTTTCGCACATCACAACAATACGAAATCCAATCAAATGTGTGATTTTAATGTGTATATAAAATGGAATTTCAATTTTTAAAATATAATTTCATTGAGTGCATTATAGAGCATGCATTTTTTTCGGTGTCATCTTAACTCAAACAAACTCTACGAAAAGTGAAGTAGTACACTAAGTTGTATCGTTTGTGACCAAAACACACAATTTGAGTACTCTCCATGTTGTACAACCAGTTGTATCGTGTGTGGCTTGCATAAGATTGCATAACTTTACCTTCTTAATTCTACCATGACATGTTTATATATTTTGGCACAAAACACAAGTTGTTCGCACATTATAAAGGAGGAAATTTTCATTTTTAATTTTGAGAGTTGTATTTACTAGTTTTGCAATTTTTTTGACATCATAAAGGAAAAATCGGTTATCGTTGTCACGCGGAGTTGGAGTCACGCGGAGTTGGTACAAGTTGATTTTTTTTTGCTGCGGCTAAGCTCGCCGGATGAGAGGGTTTTTTCTTCCGCGAAATTGTACATTTAAAATTTCATAGAACCATATAAAAATTAAATATTCTGTAATTGGGCTTATTCACCATATGCAAAGTGAAAACAAAAAGGGTAGATTAAAGCTTTTACACAACGGATGTATTTCAATTCATGTGCATGTATTTCAATTCAATTCATGTGCAAGTTTAAAAAAATAATGCATAATTTCCAACTATACCAATATATTCAAAACATATTTTCTTGTTCCAACTTAGAAATAATTCATTTAATAATATAATTTATAATTTTTAACATATTTCTTTAGATCTATATATGTGTAATAATAATTAGTTTCTTTCTTTTTAACAATTATGTGATGTAATGATATTTCTTATATCCTATATGCATGCATGTATGTTTTTTTATTTTTTCGTATACATATTTTTAATTTTTAAGCATTTTTTTAGTAGATACAGAAACTGTAGGAATGAAAAATTTTTTACAGAAACTGAAGGAATGATTTTTTATTATTATTTTTGGAATAATATATACATATATATATATATATATATATATATATATATATATATATATATATATATATATATATATATATATATATATATATATATATATATATATATATATATATATATATATATATATATATATATATATGTGTGTTTTTTTTAACTTAAATATGTTAACACGTTTAAGACTAACATCAACAAACAATGTAATCAGCTCCATTCCTACTTGAAAACTAGACCCGATATTTTAAAACTAATTTGCTCTGCTGACAAATATAAAACAAATACTTACACATAAGTTTAATTTCATAAATTTGATTTATACGTATTCTCTCCGTTTTTGAATAAAATTTGTTTTTAAATGCATAATTTTTTTTTTTTACAAAATTCCGCAGGCGTCCCGCTCTGACGAAAAATATAAATGTTCATATTACATATACGTCATTCAATATTGCAGCACAATATTCCTAAACGTCTTAAAAAATGAAACGTTAATATCTTGTAACACTGTTTAAAAATGCAACACACGTACATTCATATTTTGTTACATACACTTTTTAGATGCCAATTTCAATTTCAGATTCATCCTAAGAAACTTGGGCATTATATTCTGTTTGTTTTTTTATGAATTATAATGTTCATAACCAATAATATTTATAATTGGAAACATTTTAAGCCATCGACAGATGAATATCATCATGTACACAAAACGATGAACGAACGCTTCATACCATGGTAGAAGAAACAGGTAGATGCTAAGGCGAATGTCTACAACAAAGCAACTTTTCTGGTACAATGATCTGTCAAAATTTGTACACAAGCGAATTTAGATCGATTCGCCTTGACGTTTCAAATTTAAAGCAAATTTGTTTTCAGCCAATCAGAAGGAGTTGTCGTTGGTCAACAAATGAAAGTAATGAATCAACATACATTCATAATTTGAAAAATGTGAAAACAACCGGAGCCCAGATAATAGAAAAACATCTGTGCGGCTTCCTGAATAACAAGAAGACGGTTGGTCTTTTGTTAAAGAAGGCAACGCTTAAGATGATTTTAGACTGAGACAGGTAAGTTGACGAGATGACTATGTTCCAAATGTATTATATTTTATTGGCGCAACTTTTGTTTTTCGCACAGACAGGTTTTGGTTCTTTTCCATTATCGCTTGGATATTTCTGCAATGTTGTTTCAACGAATGTATGGGCCCAGTTTACCGGGCAAATATTTGATTGAATTTTCAACGGCAACGATTTTTAGATGCTGGCTTCAAAACAAAACAAAAAAGACGATAATAGGATTACGTGGAAAGTCGCTAAGCATTCCTTTCCCAGGCCTTGCTTTTTGGGTCAGATAATTGATCTAACCGCGAAGATCTCATGCGCGTAATGGTTTGAAAACATTGTGCATTTGTTTGTGAACGAAGGAAACGAGATAGACACATAGTTCCTTTTGCTGATCTGCAAAGAATCACATTTTGAGCCGATTTATGAATGTCCGTCCGTCTCTGTCCGTCTGTCTATGTATTTTTGTAAACAAAATTCAGGTATATTAAGTTCGTCATTCTGTTTGTAACTCATGGAAGTAATAATTTTAGACCCAACAAAGTATATATATTCTTGATCAGCGTAAAATGCTAAGACGACTTATTACTTTATATATATATATATATATATATATATATATATATATATATATATATATATATATATATATATATATATATATATGTATATATATATAAATATATATATATATATTCATATTTTATATTTTATATTTTGATCCATATTCTTATTTATCTTTGGGTTCAAAATTAAGATAATAGTACAAAAAATAAATAAGTAAATAGATAAATAAAAAGGACTAAAATAAAAACGTCTCAAAGTTTGGTGCGAAATTAATTATGTTCAGCGATATAAACAAAAAAAGTAATGATAATTGGTTAGACCCAGATAAGATTTATATCACATTTCTACTTTTTATAGGAACATCAGTAAAAACTAGTAACAAGTTTATAAGGTAATTTTAACCATTTTCTTGTTGCCCATTATTCTTTGTTTGGCTTTTTGTATTTTAAGGCGTCTATTCAAACTTTTAACTTAAAAAAAAAAATACGACATTTAAAAAAGAACTCCTTTACTTTCTCGGGCAGTTCGATATCTTTGGTACTATGAACTAGTTGATGGCGAAATTTCCAAGCCATTAAAATTGTTGAAATGTAATTCCAACTGTTTTATTTTATTTAGAAATTGTGGAGTTGGTTTTATTAGGGAGCCTTTTGAAATCTGACCAACCCATGTGTGTGAATTGGAATTGTCTTCACAATTTTCAAGATTTAGCTTTCGAATAACATAACCGGATACGTATTCCAAGGCATCCTCTTGAAGATAGCCAATGTCAACAATAGGTAGAAGCCTCATTTTCGAACTATTACCAGTCTTGTGTTGAGGATTGAAGTGGTCAGAGCATATTTTCGGATCGGCTGGAAAATGCATTCCACCACTCACACCCCACTCCAACCTTTTCTTCTCATCCCGCGGAACGCTAAAAAATGTAACTTTGCCAGCAACATATTTTGTTTTGCAAATAAAGCAAACTCTCATTTTTTTTTTTCCACAAAAAACCTTTCCTTTTTCTCGTTAACGATTGCACTTTGAAATTGATGATGCGTTATGCGCATGTGCGGCGAATTATAATTACAACAACTCGTTTGACATTATTTTGACATTGGCTACCTCTATCATTCTACCATGCTTCATACCTACAAACCAATAAATATATATTACTCAAACATATTGGTAAAATTTATAAATGATTTCTTACCTGAAGAAAATGGCATTCCACAAAACAGAGTCCCAACTCTTTTGTGCTACACAGCTGCCTGTTACATTTTATTTACATTTATTTTCACCACCTTAGCAAATTTAATTTTGCTGTACATAAATGTTTACCTTTATGCATTGATCAATTTTTTTATTATGAAAACTCAAAACAAAGAACTGTCAAATGCGGCTAGTGTTGTAAGTCGACACCAACGACGACTTTTTTGTGATTGGGGGAACTTGCCTCATTAATAGACATCCGTCAGCATACAGCGTATGAATTATAAATCATTTACAGCCTGTTTCTGATGTCGAAACGAAAAGGCTTTCCAAATATCTTCACCTTTACTTTCTCGTTGAAGCAAATAAATTTAAATAAAACACATTTGAGTTTAGTGATATTTCATTTTTTTATCGAACTAAGATGTTAAGGTAGAAACTCAAGCAGCTCATTGCTTGCTTTATAAATTTTAAATTACAATTTCGCCGCCGTTCTTCTTTATAATTTTGCTTCAAAAAGCGGCGTATATTGATATAGTTTTGGTCCTTATTGCATTTGAAGAAATTTCAAATATAACGATAGAATTAGTACCAAATGAGTTTTTCTTTCACAAGAAACAGGCAAATGTATGGTTGCGACATCTACACTCCCACCATCACATTACGTTACTATGATCTAAGGATACAACGATAAAAAAACGAGAATATATATATATATATATATATATATATATATATATATATATATATATATACACATATATATATGTTTTTTTAACTTAAATATGTTAACACGTTTAACTTAATTCTCTTTTCTTTATATCTACAACGAGATAATGAAGTTTTTGTTATTTTTGATGTATAAATTGCAAACGCCTAAAAGTTTGCTTTGAAATGGGTATAGATTACATTTCCAATTCATCATTACTTTAGGGTTAATTTCAAATATTACATTGAGACACGTGTTCTTAATTTACAACCAAAGGAAAGATTACTCTTTAAGTGACTTCTTAAAATTTTTACTTTAAATAGTTTTCATGCACAGGATCATGTATTTTTTTAATGTATAGATTTTCTCAAATTAACGTGATTTCTACATTGCTGTCTTATGCTTCTATAAAATGTTTACAATACAGTACAGTTTGTGGTAGGTTTGTGCACTCACTGTATTTTACCCTGGAGGCATATAAATGCGTCATTTAATGATAATTTCCCTCGGGAAAAATGTGGTTACCATATGCCTCAGTCTTCTTGTGGGAATCGCAGGCACGTTTTTCGGAATAATTCCCTTAAATTTGGAAAATTTCTGGACTGATGCCGTTTGTCAATATTTCACGGCTTTAACCACACAAACCCAAGTATATTTTACACCAGAAGATTTTTATAAGAAAAAGAAATTCGTCAATCAAATTCAGCTTGTTGCAGGAGATCCAATCGGATTTTATACAAATTCTTATTTTTCGTTGAAACATACTATATTTTTACTTTATTATTTTATCACCATATTCACTTATTTTACTTTTTTTAATATTATCGAACTGTACTGATCACGGGTTTCCTTGAGAAAAAAAGGTCGGTTCTAAGCCCGCGTGGTACTCAAGAAGTCAAAATCCACATGTAGGTTAGCATAAGAAGATTATCGATAAATTCTCGTTTTTTATCGTTGTATCCTTAGGTCATAGCAACGTAATGTGATGGTGGGAGTGTAGATGTCGCAACCATACATTTGCCTGTTTCATGTGAAAAAAAAAACTCATTTGGTACTAATTCTATCGTTATATTTGAAATTTCTTCAAATGCAATAAGGACCAAAACTAAATCAATCTACGCCGCTTTTTGAAGTAAAATTATAAAGAAAAACGGCGACGAAATCGTAATTTGTAATTTAAAAATTATAAAGCAAGCAATAAGCTGCTTGAGTTTCTACCTTAACATCTTAGTTCGATAAAAAAAATGAAATATCAATAAACTCAAATGTGTTTTATTTAAATTTATTTGCTTCAAAGAGAAAGCAAAGATGAAGATATTTGGAAAGCTAAAGTTTGGGGGTCATTCATTCACACACTTTTTCGTCTCGACATCAGAAACATGCTGTAAATGATTTAGAATTCATACGCTGATGAGGCAAGTTCCCCCAATCACAAAAAAGTCGTTGTGGCAACATCGAACCGAATGTGGATTGGTGTCGACTTACAACACTAGCCGCATTTGACAGTTCTTTGTTTTGAGTTTTCATAATAAAAAAAATTTATCAATGCAAAAAGGAAAACATTTCTGTTCAGCAAAATTAAATTTGCTAAGTTGGTGAAAATAAATGTAAAAAAAAATGTAACAGGCAGCTGTCACATCGTAGTACAAACTTTTACATTCTCCTGACAATGAGCTCCTGACAACCTTGAGGAATAATTGCTTTTAATTTGGCCTCTATAGCCTTTATTGCATTTGATTGAGCTATTCTAACAGATGCGTCTATATAATCTCTCAGACTTGGACCAGCAGTGTCGTTAATTGGCGCTTCTAATCTAACATTCACGTTCAGAGCTGGAAGTGTGGACTCCGTCTGAATATTCCTGGCGAATTGGTCCCTAATTTCTTGAGCTGCCATGCTACTGTACTGTTTTCTATTAATGGAGCTACCTGACTCTGGAGATGATGTTGTCTGGGGCCCTGTTTCTTGCGTCGTTACAAGCGACATTAAGGGGGGTATAGAAGATTGAATGACGGTTCTATTGGTCTCTTGTTCTGAAGCTTGTGAGATATTCACAATACTACTCATATTTTGGTTATTGTTCGGAGTTGGAATATTACCAGAAAAATTGTTAGTGGCTTAGTTGGATGTACTTGGTTTATCTGAACCTACTAGTTTACTATTCGATCTAGTGGTCATGATAGAAGTTTTTTTGCTCGCCGTTTTCATATATTCGGCTCGATTATCCTTTTTTTATATTAACTAAAAAAAAGAAACAGAATTCATTTTAATTTGATTTTTTTTATGTATGTTATTTTATGCACAAGATACAATTTTTAGAAAGAACGTATTGAAATACATTTTTTTATAGTTATATGTATCCTACCAATCAAGATTTTGCAATATTTTTCAAAAGAAGAACAAATATGTTTTAAGCTATATAGCCTCATCATCATGATTCCATTCGAATAAATTACTACATTACTTGGTTGGTTACCCTTTATTTCAAGACAGCAACGTGTCGTTACTACACAGCATGGTTTTGGATATAACCTTCTGGAATACCGACAAGATGATATCATCCAATAGAAGGGCTTGGGCTATTTAAATCCTTTTTTTATATTAACTAAAAAAAAAGAAACAGAATTCATTTTAATTTGATTTTTTTTATGTATGTTATTTTATGCACAAGATACAATTTTTAGAAAGAACGTATTGAAATACATTTTTTTATAGTTATATGTATCCTACCAATCAAGATTTTGCAATATTTTTCAAAAGAAGAACAAATATGTTTTAAGCTATATAGCCTCATCATCATGATTCCATTCGAATAAATTACTACATTACTTGGTTGGTTACCCTTTATTTCAAGACAGCAACGTGTCGTTACTACACAGCATGGTTTTGGATATAACCTTCTGGAATACCGATAAGATGATATCATCCAATAGAAGGGCTTGGGCTATTTAAAAAAATTAAAAAAATGCGTTCGACGTTGGGCGCCATAAATGTGACAATTTCTATCACGCGGAGTTGGTACAAGGTGATTTTTTTGCTACGGCTAAGCTCGCCGGATGGGAGGGTTTTTTCTTCCGCGAAATTGTACATTTAAAATTTCATAGTACCATATAAAAATTAAATATTCTGTAATTGGGCTTATTCACCATATGCAAAGTTAAAACAAATAGGTAGATTAAAGCTTTTACGCAACGGATGTATTTCAATTCATGTCCTTCTGTTGTGCAAGTTTAAAAAAAAATAATGCATAATTTCCAACTGTGTAGAGGTCTAGATGGTGTACCTCTGTGGCTGCCCACCCCATATGACTCAAGAACCATCCATGATATTTTCTAGCCACATTATATTACTGAAAATACCCCTAATGAAACCTACCTATTTGATAATCAGATTCAGCCCATTCTTTTAAATAAATTCAAAACATATTTTCTTGTTCCAACTTAGAGATAATTCATTTAATAATATAATTTTTAACATATTTCTTTAGATCTATATATGTGTAATAATAATTAGTTTCTTTCTTTTTAACAATTATGTGTATATTACGATATTTCATATATCATATATGCATGCATGTATGTTTTTTTATAATTTTTCGTGTATATTTTTTTTAATTTTTAAGCATTTTTTTAGTATATACAGAAACTGAAGGAATGAATAATTTTTTACTGAAACTGAAGGAATGATTTTTTTTATTATTTTTAGAATAACATATATATTTATTTTATCAATGTTTAATCTTATCAAGATGCTGATGTAAATCGTATTTCAATATTTATATTCCGTTTACCTTAAGTCTTTGCATGATATATGCACTGATTTTAACTTTATGTTGTATTTTACACGGTCTTATTCTTTATAGCTTGTCTTTAGGTTATGTATATTTTGTATTATATATCACATTCTTTTAACTTTAAACATGTTAACACGTTTAGCTTAATTCTCCTTTCTTTATATCTACAACGAGATAATGAAGTTTTTGTTATTTTTGATGTATAAATTGCAAACGCCTAAAAGTTTGCTTTGAAATGGGTATAGATTACATTTCCAATTCATCATTACTTTAGGGTTAATTTCAAATATTACATTGAGACACGTGTTCTTAATTTACAACCAAAGGAAAGATTACTCTTTAAGTGACTTCTTAAAATTTTTACTTTAAATAGTTTTCATGCACAGGATCATGTATTTTTGTAATGTATAGATTTTCTCAAATTAACGTGATTTCTACATTGCAGTCTTATGCTTCTATAAAATGTTTACAATACAGTACAGTTTGTGGTAGGTTTGTGCACTCACTGTATTTTACCCTGGAGGCATATAAATGCGTCATTTAATGATAATTTCCCTCGGGAAAAATGTGGTTACCATATGCCTCAGTCTTCTTGTGGGAATCGCAGGCACGTTTTTCGGAATAATTCCCTTAAATTTGGAAAATTTCTGGACTGATGCCGTTTGTCAATATTTCACGGCTTTAACCACACAAACCCAAGTATATTTTACACCAGAAGATTTTTATAAGAAAAAGAAATTCGTCAATCAAATTCAGCTTGTTGCAGGAGATCCAATCGGATTTTATAAAAATTCTTATTTTTCGTTGAAACATACTATATCTTTACTTTATTATTTTATCACCATATTCACTTATTTTACTTTTTTTTAATATTCTCGAACTGTACTGATCACGGGTTTCTTTGAGAAAAAAGGTCGATTCTAAGCCCGCGTGGTACTCAAGAAGTCAAAATCCTCATGTAGGTTAGCATAAGAAGATTATCGATAAATTCTCGTTTTTTTATCGTTGTATCCTTAGATCATAGTAACGTAATGTGATGGTGGGAGTGTAGATGTCGCAACCATACATTTGCCTGTTTCATGTGAAAGAAAAACTCATTTGGTACTAATTCTATCGTTATATTTGAAATTTCTTCAAAT